CCTTAACAATAAAACGAAACACCCAGTAGTTAATAGGACCCATTCTATTTAGAAGCCAGATTAGTAACCCACTACACTAATCAGAGAATGTCCTTTGAAATGATAGTGAGAATTTTACACAACTGATGGAAGATACTAAGATTTTTAGTTGTTCCTCAGTGGGAAGATTGATCTGCAGTTACATAGTGTACCATTACAGGAAGCAGAAGTATCTCCCTTACTATTCATAGACAGTTGCTTAAAAAATCTAAGAGTTAATACATAAGCATACCCATTTCACAATTTTCTATATTGTTTTAAACTGTGGAACATTTCTGTAACCTCAAGAGAGTATGGTACTGACTATGTGAAGATCGAAGTTAGGTGTTTCCTTAGTGATGGAATAGAAGAGTGAATTTTGGATGGAAATATATCTTTCTTTTTACTACAAATATATACCATGATAATGCGATTGAAGAGTTTCTATAAATAAGAAAGTTGCAGATACCATATGAAGTAAGCTTCCTTTGGTATCAACTCTTTCTGTTTTTTGGTTTTTATTTTTTCTTTGTGAGATGGAGTCTCACTTTATTGCCTAGGCTGTAGTGCAGTGGCTTGATCTCAGCTCACTTCAACCTTCGCTTCCCAGGTTGAAGCCATTCTCCTGCCTCAGCTGTCCAGGTATCTGGGACTACAGGTGCACATCACTATACCTGGCTAATTTTTGTATTTTTAGTAGAGACAGAGTTTTACCAGGTTGGCCAGGTTGGTCTCAAATCCTGGCCTCAAGTGATCCACGCCCCTCAGCCTTCCAAAGTGCTGGGACTACAGGCATGAGCCACTGGGCCTGGCCTGGTATCAACTCTTTATAAGACATTAACAAATCTGATTCTTTCACTGTAATTATTTTGTTACTGAAGTGGGTATAAACCTGAAGACCTAGATCAAACAAAATCATGCTTTTTTTTTTTTTTGTCTTTTTTAAGACAGGGTCTCACTCTGTCACCCAGGCTAGAGTGCAGTGTCGCAATCTCGACTCACTGCAACCTCTGCACCCCCCGCTCGCTAGCTCAAGCAGTTCTCGCACCCCAGCCTCCTGAGCAGCTAGGACTACAGGAGGGCACTACCATGCTTGTCTAATTTTTTAAGGTTATTTTAGAGACAAAATTGCTCAGTGTTACCCAGCCTGGTCTCAAACTCCTGGGTTCAAGCAATCTCTCCACCTTGGTCTCCCAAAGTGGATTACAAACAGGAGCTCATAGGTGGGATTATGTATATGAGTCACCACATCTAGCCATTTCTTTTTATCAATAAGAAGGATTTTCAATACCTAGCTGATCTCTACCCTCTTTTAATAGGAATCTGTGTTTTGTGGACAGTTACAGGTAGGTCTTATATTCATGATGTGCATATCCCTGGTACCTGTTGAAATTGAAGAGGGTTAAAAGAAGTTCTGTTATTAATAGTGGGAGTATCCTGTGCAATTTTTTAAGCCAAATAGTGTTTCCATAGACTTGGTAAGTTTCAAAAACTATTTGTTCCGTTATATAGCCCAATGAAATACTGAGCATAAATACATTTTGTTGAACAGTTATGAAATTGGTATGAGATTTTGTACTTGAATATATCTTAACAGGAAACATGTTATATATTTGTTAAGCCCAAACAAAGCTGTACTTTTATCCTTGACATTTTGTATATCAGATTGTTTTGTGGTGCTTCATTAAAAGCTGTAAGTACAAACCGCCAATTTCATAACTGGTCATGAATCTCTTGAAAGTTTTTGTAGTTGCATAGGCAGAAAAGTCCTAGAGAGAAAAAAATTATGTATCTTTTAAGTTACATCATATTATTTATTTTATTTTTATTTTTTTGAGACAGAGTCTCGCTTTATCACTTAGGCTGGAGTGCAGTGGCACGATCTCGGACCACTGCAACCTCTGCCTCTTGGGTTCAAGCAATTCTCCTGTCTCCACCTCCTGGGTAGCTGGGACTACAGGTGCATGCCACCACAGCCAGCTAATTTTACTATTTTTAGTAGAGGTGGGGTTTCATCATTTTGGTCAGGCTGGTCTCGAATTCCTGACCTCAGGTGATACACCTGCCTCAGTCTTCCAAAGTGCTGGGATTACAGGCGTGAGCCACTGCACCTGGCCCCCATCATATTATTTTATAAAGGAATGGTGGAAAATGAAACATTGTGCTACAACTGAGGTGTGGCACAGAAAACTAGGGCAACACTTACTTTTAGAAATATCAAGTGTTATTCACTGTTTTAGAATTAATTACATAATTATCTACCAGAACACAAAGATCCCAGGGTACGTTAATGGAAACACTACATTTCCAAATAAAATAATAATAATTATCACCTACGGTATTCAGAGTGCTTTATTAGCTATAATTTTTAACTCCCCACCTCTCTGTGTGTAAATAAACATCACTAAGAATATTAAACTTTTCTATAGTTTAGAAATAATAAAACTAAGGCAGAGAAATTGATGTGAATGATAAATTAGGCATTATGGCTTGAATCCTTTAAAGAGGCAGGTATTCAATAGGAACAATAGATGCTAATGAAGTATAAAAATCATTCTTAGAACTATTCATAAATTATTAGTTGGTAATTAATTAAATTAAACCTTTCTTCCAAAATGAGTGATTGAATTAATTTAAATTTTGTAAACAATGTCACAATGGCAGCCTTGAGACTATTGGAAATTCCTAAGATGTGACAGAACTTACTTTAGAATCACCATCCCAGGCACGTGGTAGCCACACAAAGTTGTATGTCATTAAAACCATTGGATTGGGAGACTGAAGAGATGTAATAAATTGAATGTCACAAGAGCTCGATTAGGGGATAAATCTAGGTTTACACGCCACATCTTACCACAGAACAATGTTTTTTTTTTCAATGTAACAGTAGCAGTTTGTTACTGCTTTCAGTGAAACACCTGGCAGTCTGTTAAGATGGCCATGAAAGTGTTAGGTAGAAACTATGGGCCTCCAGGACACTTGATGCCCCTTTATAGGACTGTAATCACTAAGGTGAAACTGCCATTGGAACAGACTGTTATAGAGCCAAGAAAAACTAAAGCCATCCCTAAAACACTGCAGCAAAAAGTCAAGGTGAAATGTGATGGGTCAGGCACAAGTCATAAGCCTACAAAGTAGAGGGATGTTCTCTGATATAGTGTTTCAGAACTGCAGACTTATTAGAGAGAAAAAAAAATGTGTGATTAATGCCCATTTGGGAAGAATCTGAGGCAGAAGGAAGCCAGCCAACTAAACTTCATTTGGGGAGATAAGTAAGACAAATCGTGACCTTGCAAAGATCTGAAACAGCTCTGCTATAGGGCCATTTGAACAAAAGAATGAACACATTCTAGCCTGACTCTGCCTTGCTACTCTGAAATGGTTGAAGTGGAGAGAGAAAAGTGCTTGGAGATTTCATCATAGAAAGATCATTGGTGAATGGACAGCCTACGGACCAGACATTTAGGTTAGGTACGCATTTCTTATGCTATTGAATTTATTTTTCTATGGCGAGAATCTCTTTGTCTGTTGGCACCCATTGCCTAAGATAATTGATGCACAATACATATGCAGGTTCTGATTCATTTGGACAGTAGGGTATAGTGGGAATAAAATATGCCTTCTCAGTACAATTTGCTCCCAAAGATCCAAAAATGATTTGCCCCAAAAATCATTCACTGCTGGATGATGATGATGATGATTCATCTTCCTGATAGACAATTGGAAAAAATTTCCCTGCTCTCTTACTTAGCCCTCTAGTTGAGGACTAGGGATTTGTTGAGACTATAGAAACTATTTGCTCATTATTCACCTGTCCTTGAGAATTGAACCTTGAGCTTTGAATTCAACTTCTGTTCAACTGATAAGAATTTTTGACAGTACAGTGCTCAAGGAATTACTGATCTTATACCTAAGAATGAAAGAAACAAAAAGACATGCCATAAGAGTTTCAAACTTCACATTAGATACAATGTCAAACCATAACATCGAATTCTAAAATCATCATTAACAGGAACATGGTTTAGAAAAACTTCTAAATTTATACTAAAATAAAAGTAAATATTTAGACTTAGTTATATCTATTCTACTTAAGATCCACGTTGTTATGTCACTCATCTAAGTTTTAAACTGGTGAAAATGCACTTAAAATATATGTGAAAGCTCTTTGTTTTTGCATTTCTAAGGGTGGAGAGAAGCCATAGCATTTTATAAATAGTGTGATATTGAGAAGACCTTTGTAACTTTATTTAATGTTTGTTACTTATATTTATAAGTGCTTTTAAAGCTACATATATATGTCACACAGTATATTGTGCACTTCTAAGGAAAATTCAGACTGAAAAAGTTGTGGCCAGTTAATCTTTCCAATGAACTGAAAAAACAAATGTTCTTCCTTTGCTGCCCTAAAACCTTCCAGATCGTTTATGGCCAGCATACCATTCTTCTCTTTGGCCTTTCCTATTGTAGTTTAGCTGTAGTTTTCCAGCTGCATGGTAAATGGATTCTTGCTCTTTTCTTCCTCCGCCCATTTTTTTTTTCTTCTCTGAGTACATTTCACAGACGACCATCTTCCAAAATAACGGCATCAATTAATTTTTTAACTAAAAAAAAACCTTTAGCCCTGAGTCTGCCCTCTCCATTGATGTGTAGTGTGTGTAGAAGAGGCTGTGCAGGGACTGATAAGCCCCCATTTGTGAAGGTGCTTCAGTAGGAAGCAAGGCCTTTGAGGCACTCACAAATGGTGCTATTTATTCAGCCAGCCCTGGCTTCAGGTGAGTTGATGAGCTGACCCACGCATCTCACAGGGCTCTGAAACTGAGCCACAAGACAGCCGCTGAGGGATGGAAAGCAGCTGTTCTTCTGTGCTCGAGACTGGAAATCGGTCCTTGTTTTTTATTTTGAATAGATAACAGTTTGTTCCTTGATGTTCTCTCTCAGTTAACTATTAGGGTTTCTCATGATACTTCTGTCCCCTTTTGCAGAACCTGATGACCTCCGAGGGGACCCTGCACTCAGCCGTCAAAGTGCTCCTGCCCACCTGGATGCTCATAATTCAATGGTAGATGCAGGTGGAGTTGAGAACATCACACAGCTTCCCCAGGAGCTTCCTCAGATGATGGCTGCAGGTAAATGCCAGTGGCCAGTGAAGGAAGCAAACAAGGCTTTCTTGAGTTCTTAGCGGAAAAGCTTGCCCTGCCTTGAAAATTTTGCATTGAACCAGGAGCCTGGGCCCTTAAAGAAATCAGGCTGTAGAACTAGTGAAAATGAAAGAGGATTAAGTCAAAGTTGACACATTCTTCTGTTTTGTTTTGGGTTCTTTAAGCTTTATGCTACTTGTTTTTAAATTTTATTTATTTATTTAGAAATACCTTGGAAAAGTCACTTTAGGTAGACACTTGCACTTTCTTAATGTAATAATGTAAAGGTTTATAAAGGAAGGAATATGTTATGAGGTAACACTTAATAAATTCAGTCAGGACCAGTTTCACTGCTTGACAACTATTTTCTTATTAGAAGGCCTTTCTGCTCAAGAATTACACCTGGAAACAGTAAGCCAGTTAACTTGTTTTACCAAGAGAGTATTACTGTTTTGCAGCTCAGCCTTGTGACTTAACTAATGTTTCACTGGGAGAAGGAAACAATTCTTCAGTTTTTTCCAGGGGTACCTCCTTAATAGCATACTGTGTATAATATAAACTACATGTCATTAAGTTTTCTCCCAGAAAGTATTTGGAAATGCTTTATGTTTAAGTCTGGAGAAAACATTGCTGTAGATTATAGTTCTTTATTTTTTTGTAGTTTGGAAATGTGCTAAATGAAGCCTCACATCTCTAGAAATGTGATTTTCTTTCAAACAAATGCCCTTGCCTGTGGGCTGTAAATCATGGTTTGTTTTTCCCCACAGCAGCTGATGGTTTGGGGAGTATAGCGATAGACACGACCCAGCTCAACATGTCCGTGACAGATCCGACAGCCTGGGCTACAGCCATGAATAACCTGGGCATGGTTCCCGTGGGGTTGCCTGGACAGCAGCTCGTGTCTGGTAAGCGTTCTCCTGGTTTCAGAGATACTTGCAGCAGTGCCGAAGGGTGTAGGTGACAGGTGTCTGGTAATCTCTCCACATCGCGAGTGTTGAACATGTTCTTTGATTTATGACTAGGGCATGTTTGGCAAGTTGTGCTTGAGATTCTTTTCCTCATCACCTTTCTTTTCTGCCTAATAGCTGTTCCCAGAAAAAGCCACGCTAACTGTTGCTGCTATACACGGTCTTGCAACATTGATTGCATTTTTTAAATTGGTAAATGGAATGGCTAATATTTGCTTTCCAATTTGCAAAACTCATTCACCTACATTATCCCATTTGATTGCACCCTTCTTCCCTTTATGATAGGTAGATATTTATTTTTGTTATTGCTCTTGTTAATGTTTCCATTTTACAAATAGAGAAGCAGAAAAGCAGAGTTTAGGTGACTTTTCTAGTAAACTCAGCTCAGCTGACACTAAATTCCGTTTTCTGTTCACCACATGGTGGAATCGTAATACAATGCGTGCATTCAGTAGAGAAAATGTTTAGAAATATCACGAAGTCAAAAGTTACCTAAAAGATTTAATCATTGAGTTTAACAGGTGTTTGCTGAGGGTTTTACATATGCCCTGTAAAAAGTGCTTTGAGAAATAGAATAAGTATTATATGTATATAAGTGTCTTTGAAGAATCTTTCTCTCTAAATTGAAACAAAATAAAACACCAATACCTGGAAAACAATAATAAAAATCATGCGTAGAGTCAGGTGTGTTAAGTAGCAGTGCAGACTGGTAATGTGATAATGAGATCAGTGACTAGGGCTCTGAGGAACGATGTTATCAGGAAGGCAGGACTTGAGCTAAATCTGTAGAGATGAGGAGGATTTATATATTCACTCACTCATTCATTCATTCAACAAATATTCATTGAGCCAGTGTCCTGGTGCAAGGGCTCCAGCAGCAAACAAGATAAGCATGGGCTGCCCTCTGAGAATTTATAGTGGAGAGGTGACAATCAGGCATTATGCAGTAGTCCTTGTTACAATGGCACAAGAAAAATTCACCTTCGGCCATCAAGGTAGGTGAGGGTAGATGGTGACCATTAAGTAGAAACCAATCACTTTTGGAAATCACTGATTTCTACTCCCACATACCAGTGCACTTTGTGCTGCGTTGACCAAGCATTTGTTTTTGTTGTTTTTCTTTTTGGTCAAATAGTGGCCATAGATGAAAAATTCCGAATTAATTTTAGTAAATAATATATGTGTGTGTGTGTATCTGTGTATGCGTGTACAGATATACACATACACACATATATATAATATATATGGTTTCTTTTATTAGAAGATCATGGATTAGAAATGGATTAGAGACCAGGGAAAGTAGGAGACAAAGGAAATACAAAGGCTGAGTTTTAAAACATTATATTTAGGATATCAAATTCTTCAAAATGCTGTCAAATTCATACAATTGAAGACGAGTCTGCTTCAGGGAGGAGGGTGTATAAATGACATTTTCTATGGTTGGAACACATGTTTATCCAGGCCCCTTTTCCCTAAAGCTTACCTAGACAGATACTTTCTTCTAACTGGAGAGTAAAGATCTGTTTTTTTTCGCCAAGTTTCCCCAGCTGCCTAAGTGAAATATCCAGAGAGCAAAAGTTACCTTGCTTGTCTCACCTCCTACTTGCAGAAAATGTTGTGCAATTCTAGAGCAAGCCGAAACCTTAATAATTCATTATTTTTTCTTGTGATTTTGAGCCTTCTGACATTTTAACTGTGACCAATTTATGATTTTCCCAGCAACTTGCCATGAAAAGAATTACAGCCCTACTTGTTACACAAGATTTACCGTATCTGCCCCAAATTATTTTTTCTATCTCCTGTATTAGCCAATTGCTTGAACTGTTTTTGAGCCTTTCAGGGTCTTTCAGGGCTTCCCTTCATCTTACACAGCCTGATAATTTAACTACACTTTGCTTTGTTCTCAGGGCCACCAGCCAACTACGTTTCTTGACACAATCTCAGAGTCAGGTTCTGTTGTGTTTGATTAGTGTTTATATATTTTATTCCAGTCTTTTTTCTGTGTATTTCAATCATATTGAATATAACATTTTCTGTTATGCATTTTTAACATCTTACCCTAAACGATTTTTCCATTGTATTCTTTTATATTAAAAATTTAAAAACAATCCACCAAAGAAGTCTTCCCCAGATTACTTAACAATTCTACTATTTACATTTAGCCTGTATTCATTTTTTCACTGGTACTAACCAAGTTTCTTTAAAGAACTTAGTCTCTCTGAGCATGCAAAAACATTTTACCTTTTCTATAAAATGGTGATCATATCTATTTCATGGAACCGTTGTAAGATTTAAATGGGATAATTTATATAACCTCCATATGGTAAGCATACATTAAATATTCTTCTTTCTCCTGTGTTCTTATTCCTTCCTTCCTCCTTTTTGCTTTTTATAAAGCAAAGAATACATTTTTGCTTTAAAACATTTCAGTGAACATTTTTATGCATGGGACTTTTTAGCTGTTAGACTTATTTCCATTGGATAGACTCGTACATGTGGAACTAGTAGGTCAAAAGAAATCAGCATTTTCAAGTCTCTTGGTAAGTACTGGTCAATTAATTCCCAAAATATATGTATGGATTTAACATTTACTAATTTGATATGCAGAAATGGCATCCTATTATTTTATTTAAAATTATTTTATAAGTACCCTTGTTTATTTTTTTCCCTTTATTTTCTATTCATATGTTAGCTTTTATAAATAATTCTCACACTGTATCCATTTATCAGATCGGGTTCTTGGTAATTTTGGGGGGGGTTATATTTGGCATTTGTTAAACATTTTAATCCTCAGACTTCATATTCCCTAAAAATATCTAGTCCATGTTTTGACTCCTAATGCTGGTTCTTTTTTATGGTTTTTATATTTAATTTTTCATTATGAGTTTTTTATTCCATTTCTAAATACAAAGGGTTAGCCCACTCTGGAAGTTGTTATATTCCCTATTTTCCATGCCCCCATTGACTTAATTCTGCCTTTTTTTTTGGAAATTAAGTTCTTAAGCACATTTGTCTATTTCTGAAGTATCTATTCTGTAGTACTGATTTAACTAGTTTTATTCCAAGACCACATTGTTTCAGTTCTTGTAGTTCTATGGTATGTTTACATGACGTAAATGCCCTTTTTACTGTAACTGGTATGCAGCACTATTGTTTCTTTTCCATGTAGCCACGGAGCCTGGGATGCCACTGTTTGCTTGGTTGCCATGCTGGCCACCTCTGGAGTTCTTCACTGTGAATGCAGAATGTTAGAGGCAGCATTTAATGTTGCAGAAGGGACTTAAAGATTATTTAGTGTACCTTCCTTCTAAGAAATCCTCTTTAAAATATTTCTGACAGGATTATGGAGAGGCTCGATTTTATGAGTGCTTGGCTTTCTCCCAAAGTTTCTGATATTTCTAAATGGCCAGCCACTCTTCCTGTATTTGTTAAAATTAAACTGACACTAAATCCCTTTCCTCACTGCTTTTTCAATTTATTGAGAGATTAAAATTATCAGCAAAGGAAGGAGTAAAATTTTTATATCCTCTGATTTTATCAAAAGAATTTCCTAGGAAATCAAATCTCTCGTTACTGTCGTAGCATACCTTTCAGACGTGCTGTGCTGTGGTGCACTTCCACAGCGACACCTCTTCCATTTCCCTCCCCTTTCATCATCTCCATGATTCTGCTCCCACCTTTATGAACTTCTCTGTTTACCTTCTTCATAGGAAGTGCTACTCAAGATCATTACATTGAATTTGTTCCTTATATCCAAAATAAACCATTATACTGTTATACCCCAATCCTAAATTCCATACTCCAAAGTTCTGGCTGCTCTGTGAGATGATATTTGCCTCCATTATTGTTTCCTGTCTGTTTTATTCCCCATACTTTGTTTTGGTTTTGTGAAGTTTTTTTGTTGCCGTTGATTTGTTTCTGTTGTCAGTACTTTGTGCATTGGTGTAGATCTAGGTTTTTTAAACTGGTCTCTTGGAACGTTTGTGTTCTGCTGTTGTTGTTAGGTAGGTTGGGTGGCACATAAGTATTATACCTAGATGGCCTAACAATAGTGGCAAACTCTGGGTTAAACACAGGTAAATTGCTTTCTTTGGGGTTTTTCCCAAGCATTTACTGTGCTACTAAAGTATAATAAGTAGTTCTCAAAGAGTGGGACCTACTACATAGAATTCCCAAACTTAATTTAGCCTTTAAAAAACACCTGCATTAGGACACATACCTAATGCGTGTGGGGCTTAAAACCTAGAATGACAGGTTGATTGGTACAGCAAACCACCATAGCACATATATACCTGTGTAACAAACCTGCTCATTCTGCACATGTATCCCGAAACTTAAAGTAAAATTTAAAAATCAATTAATTTAAAAACCTGTAAGCCTCTCATAATATGCTAGAATATTCACTGTGGAGATCCGTCTTCACCACCATCCATCCTTCTATGCCTCATATGATAACCTCTGCATGATCTAGTGTACGATTTTGTTTATGTTTGTTCTGAACAGTGTCACTCCCTAATCTTAAATATCAAAATAACTCTCTTCTGGTCAGGTGTTACCTGAAACCTTCTTCTCAGTTTTCTGTGGCACACGTTGTCCCTTTCCAGGAGGCCCCACCTCTGGTGTCACAAGCTGAAATCTAGAATATCAGATCCCAAGCTTTGGCACCTCTTGTGTGACCAGCTGCTCTCTTCCTGTATACCCTAATTTCTTTTCCAAAGTTATAATTATCAACTGGAAACAGAGCTGAAAAGCAGGAGCCGAGTACCCAGGCTTTAAATTTTTTGCCCAGGCCTGCTTAGGAACTAGTAGTGTTTTCTGGATATTCTCTGGCCATGAGATAACACCTTGCTTTTCTCTAAATTTCTTGAAATCTCCTTTCCTAATTAATGTCAGTGGTCTTTCGTTAGCCATTATTGCCTCTGGGGTGATGTACATCT